CAAAAATACCGTAAGACTCTGTATTTCCATTTTATAACAATAAAGAGACGTTTTCTCCTAGAATTTTGCCCTTTTGATTTGGCTGGGACCTGGAGCTAGGAGGAACGTACAGGAGTGTTTCTATTGGAAACAATTGGGACAGCCACTGGCGAAATAAAATTCTACAATAATAACAATATACAATGATAAATCTGAAATTGCAATCAAATAAAATACCAAAAATGTCAACAGAAAACGTCCGTCATGTCATAACAAAAATATGTAATCATGGAGGGATTTTCCAAAAAGCAAAACATTCAAAAAGGATTTTACAACGTTGATATAAAACAGTTAATGAAATACCACATGAGTATCGAATCACTGTGCCTTACCGATTAGATAATGAATATCTAAACAATTTTTATCATTTAAATACTTTTGAATCTCCTCCGTTCATTCAATGAATAACCCATTCATAGCCCTACTAGAGGCTTTTGTTCATTAAACAACGAAAATGCAACTGTGCGATAAGCGACCTAATGAAGAAAAAAGTGATCTAAGTAATAATGTCTTAATGCTTCATTCAAAATGCATCAAATGAGTCCCGACTCAAGTTCAACCACGAACATTTCCGGTTCTTGATCTCATCTCTTTCTCTTCCCTTCTCTTTTTCACCACCGTCATGATGGGTTCAAATAAAAATATGTGGAGCACATAACTTCATCCTACGCCCCAAAATAATTGCCCTGATATTTCCGAAGAATGACATTTGTTTTTCCCAGAAGCCTGTCAAATTTTTTTTCTGAAGAATGAAATCAAGAAGACCAATTTGCACTGGTCTCATCGCTTCTTGTTATGCACAGATCTAGACTCAACTTGTGGCGATTCTTGACGATCATTTGTTCGTCGCAACGCACCCTAAGTAACTATCACCAGTTAATGCGTTGTACATTCTCTGTCACTTAAACATTTACAGTAACCAGTGTACTAAGTAAAATGGAAATCTAACTGAGCAACCTATTACATTAATTGTGTTAGCATTTGTAACAAATTGCAAATGTTACTGGTATATATGATCTCTTGCTTTTCTAGTTACTTCGCTTTTATGACGAGAACGCACCTGGTTTAATAGAAACATTCATTATTAAATCCAATTTTACCAGCCAATGTTTTACTTAACCTTTTGTTCATTACTACTCTGCACGCGCATAATGCCATTTCGGCCCCACTGTCTCTATAACTTCACCCCTATTTCCTAGGACGATTTCGGTTTACATTTGATACCACGAAATCTCCAGTAAATATACTTTCTTGTATGTATTAACCTTTCTTCTCTGTCTTTTTGATATGCTTGAAACTATTACGAGTTCTAATTACTTGGTAAAGGGAACGAAGATAAACGATGCAGTAACACGATAGGTTATTCTGATCCAGTTGTCCGAGGCCCCGTTCACCAACTGAAGAAGTTTTAGTAAGGCGTAGAGAATTTATCCTGCAAACACGCAGAAAGGTAGAGGTAGCTTAACACTCAACTCAGGCTTAATAATACAATGACAGAAAAGCCCATGGGAGAGACACTAAATAGCCCACTAAAATAATCAATCAAACAGTCGAGGAGTTTCTGAGTGGAAAATGTAAGCTGAAGGTCAACTAAGCGTCTCCGACGTGACAACAGAACAATTCAAAATTTCAGAGTAAATTTACAAAATTAAGACCTTTACCAAGTAAGTTCTGAGAATCTAAGCTCCCTAGCACCTTGGTTCACGGAGACTTAGTGAAGGGAACGATATTGGTCTGAAGTGGTGATCTTGGTCAATCCGAAATCGTACTATTACACTTTTAATCATAAATATACTACTCAATCCACAGCATAAACAAGCTTTTTGAAAGTTTATACTAACTGTCACGACAAGACGATTTATTAAAGAGTATGATGTGACTTCAATGTAAAAGCTTGTAGGTTAGTTAGTTACATCAGATCATTCTAAACTGCTAGATTGTGTCTATTATTATGGTAGCATAGATAAATGCAACTTCTCTGAATGTGCCTAAATTCCACTGCACAACATTCGTTCAGTGTGTTAATTAATTTGAAATGATATTGTTTAGATTCAGCCAGATTCAGTCAGATTCAGATGAAACACAAAGTTGGTTTGCTTACTTATTGCTTTCAATTTCGACTACATTTTCACATTTGATTTACATATCTCGCGAAAGAAGTTATTATTCACTCTGTTATACAAATTACCTAGGCCGATTCCTTAATACCCATCCGTTGATTTTAGAACTTCGATGGCTTTTGATTCATTTCCTTATGATACCTGAGTTTGAACCTAAAAGATGAATTAGAATAACCACAATATGACTTCCAAATATAGATGACTTATCTTCAATGTAATTCCCAAATCTCTCGGTCTTTGTAATCAGAGCGATTTCGTTAAAAGTTCTACGTAATAAATATCACCTAACTAACTGTATAATAAGAGATATACAGAAGAATGTTGCAACGTTTTGATATGCATTCAAAGCTGTGCTATGGAACTTTCATCAACTCCTCACCTTGGCTTTCGTACACCTTCAGTAATTTTGCACACCTCTAGACGTCTCGGAAGGAAATCACTTAAGATAGCGCTCTGGAATATTAACGCAAACATTTTCGTAATCAACGTTTATAAGTCGTTCAGAAGACTTTCAGAGTGGATATTGAGGCCATTATATGGCCAGTATATCATAATAAGGCCATATAATTTACTTCACGTTCAGCAGTACTGGAGAAGCATACTAAATATGCCTCATCCCACTCATTCTTACTAACGATCACTTTGTTCCTGGATAGTTCGTTGTTAAGGTGCTGTTCATTCGGAGAAAAGTCCAACTATTTTGTTAAGTCGTCCGCATGATCCATTTCAAAATTAGAGTATGTAAATTTTATGAAAGATAGGCACAGCGTCTTATTTCAAATTTCCAAGTGGAAGAATCAATATTCAATTGGGTTTCCGAAAGAGCTGAGAGAAAACACTATAAGTATTATTCTTGATAACTACTAGTTTTATTACTGTTTTCACTTTACTACGATTGTGTCTCTGCTTGGTGGAAACGCTGTCATGCAACAAATATCGACATCTTTAATTGACAGCATTTGTCATTTCCCTCCACCAATATTTGAAACTTTGAATTTTTAAGGCTAGGGTTAGAAAGTTTGAATACGGTTGTCCTTGGGTTTGGTCATTACTCTGGCGGGTTTTTAAATGAGTTAGTTTTGTGTTAGGTTGGTTTTCTCTACAATATACTAGCGATTCGTTGTGTCCAAGACTTTCAAAACACATTTTTGAGGCAGAAATCCGTTCGCGTCAGTTCTTGCAGGATGTTAGAAGTTTCAACTCTATTCAGATGAAATGTCCAGGATAGGACTTAGTGGAAGGATGGACTGGTCGCAAAGAAGGTAGGATAGTAGGCAGCTAGAAGTTAGGTATAGCCAAGACCAGTCACTTTATTCGTCCTTAAAGTTAACTTGCTTCACGGCGGTGCAAATGTAGTTGTGTTTACTCATAAATATATTTATATGCATATGTATAAATACAGTCTACAGAAACATGTAAAGATCGCGTATTTCTGATGTACAGTGCTGTATTGATTCATAAAGCCTAAGTGCTCACCATAACACCCAGAAAGTCTCCCTGCTAAGTAATATATGGTATGAACCTAAGTTCTATCCTCGTTTCAGATCGCTTTCTAACTTTTATTTATTCATATCTTAGTAGAGTTTACTTAAGTCTCATGAATCCGAAGTGTTACATCGTTAGGATTATTTGAAAGTAAGTTTTTTATTTTATCTCATTCTCCTAGGTAACTGAAATTCGTACTGTTTTATATCGAAGTTTAGTGTCCTCTTGCACTGATTGGGGAGTTGTACATAGATATATAATCAAACGTTTTTTTAATAAACATTGGTCACTCTTATCTTTTGTTCGTTTTTTTCGGTCACATTTTGATGACCATACTAATTCCTTTCTCCTCCGTTCATAGTTTTTACGGCCGTATAATGTGTATTTGTCGTCTCTTTACATTTTTAGAACTGAGTAAACTGAATTCCCAATTTTGACATCAATCCATTATTCTGAATTCATCACGACAAAACATGGTTAGTATGTCGAGTCTTTTCGGCGAGATATGTCAATTATTTTGTTGTCCTCCAAGACCTTCGCATATTGTGGCAAAATTAGCATTTTTACCACCACCACCAACTTATTCAATCATAGCATCAGCTAATGATTCCACATGTTGCATTGAGTTTAAGCCTGAGGCTGGTTGGCAAATATCCGAGGACATAAAATCTAAATTGACGGTAAGTGATCGTTATAGTTTGAATCTGTGTTCCTGAAAACTTGATGTTCCACCAGATAACCTCTTATAAGCGAGTTTATTCTGACATATTGTTTATGCCTATAAGTTTATTTTATTTGCTTTAGTTTTTATCTTATACTTTCATGGCATGTTCTTATAACCTTCAGTTAAATCACGAAATCCCACACCTGCTGGTCAACTTTTTTTAACAGTGAGAAACATTGTTTTCGGTAGTAATTTTGTAAAGATGTATACAGTACGCTTGAATGTTAAAGTACTGACGAGCTAATTTTCTTCATAATTATCTCAGTCTTGACTAAATCAAAGTTGTTTTTCATGTCATACATATTTTTTAACTTGGATGTTATCAAATCAAACTGATGATAGCTTTTCTATTATACAAAAATAATTTGGAAATAAATTTTTGCTAGAAGTTTATAGTGATTTAGTTATTCCGCTAGTACTTAATCTATAGGTTTTAGTCTGGAACATACCGATTCACGCTTATTTCACATCGTTCAAGTAGTTTTTCGACCATAATTTTAGGTTGGTAATCAATAATATTTTTAATGAAGATGCGTTTGTCCATCTTGAAAACGTCAAAGGTAACGTGCAACTAGTGTAGACCGTGTATTTTTGGTTAGTATATTGTCATAAGATCAAATCGTAATTTAGCAGTGATAGTGATCATCTTTGAATTCCTGGTATTCCGCTTTGTTAATACATTCATTACGTTAGTCTATGAAAAATTTTTTCTTGTCATGATAACGTACGTTAGATTTAGTATTCTGCATATGCAGTCACTCGAACATATCGAAACTTGTTTTTTTTTTGGGGTGGGGGTTGTTTTTCTTTACGATCATTATCGTTACTTCTGACATACACTGTCAGCACAGAAATAATTTCTAACTTGAAGATTTAGGCAGCAGTCTACCAGCTGCGTCTAACGTTTAAGCCTCCGCAAATGTTGATTCCAGCATTCAAATATTGTAACCAGCTAGATAAAACATTCTGCTCATACCTGTACATTAGTGGAGCTGTTTAGATTAAATTTATTATTATCAGTGGTTTTACGTGAGAAGTCAAATGGAGGTTTATTAAAACGGTTTCGAATTTATAACTTAATCAGTAACTTAAATAACCAATCCCTGACTTTTGAGGTACTAATTCATGTTTTTAAAATTCGTTGATGTGTATAAAAATGAACCTTTTTTATGTCTTTAATATTGTCAATTTATTTCGAAAACGAAACATAACTATACAAAGTTTGAATGGTTCGGTCTTCGTTAAATTATTTTATGCTCGACCCTACAGTCATTCGTAGTCAACCTAACAAGTCGATTGAAAAATTTCAGTGTTTTGATAAGTTTCTGAATTCAGTTATCTAGTAAGACATATGAGAGTATTGTAAGGAATACTTGTTTGTATATCTAGTGGTAGGTAGTGACGTAGTTGAGCGTGCTGACCGCTTCAGTCATATCTTGAGTCTCATCAGTGCTGATAGCCTGGTGACTGGCGAAACCTCAGCACGGATACAGAAGGCTCTACTGGCTTTCGCCAACTTTTGTCATTTGTGGAGTAGGCGAGATATCTGTTTGCTAACCAAAGTATGAGTCTACTGCGCAGCGGTTCGTTCCTTTCCACTTTATGTCTGAAAAATAGCCGATAAAAGTAAATATTCGTAGGTTACTGGTTTTCGATTCATTGCTTGTATATACTGGGACTATCGAGTAAACAATGCTGTTGTTAGGAAACGGATACTAGGTAAGGATGGCAGATCAGGAAATGAAATATTGAAACTTCATCAGTGGATGTGTTTGTTACATGTGTTACGAATGCCCAACCACCGACTGCCTGGACGACCTGTTTTGTGGTATAGGAATAGGTTGGAAAAAGCCAAGGGCGACCAGACCAAAACATAGCACAAATCCATGAAGTCACTGACAGTCGGACTCAGCCGTGTTGCTAAGTGTATACTTCTTAGTTGGGTTCAGCGAAGTGATAGTAATCGATGGTTAGAAACCTGGAATGACGTGACTCAAAATCGTTTGCGATGGCGCAGGTGTATCCACTCTTAGTGTTCTCCCGAATTCTGATCAGAATCCCTCATAACCTTCGTCTTTCTATTCTCAAATATATTTTATTAGATTATACTCAGATTACTGCTAATACTTCTACTACCTGTAATACTGTGGGATTTGGATTGACAATTGCATCTCTGTGCTAATATGGTATGGCAACTAGTGTAACTACGTACGTACGAAGTCCTGCATTGTTCCTGACTGACTGACTTAAATTTATCTGGTTCTTGAAATTCAAGTGGTTCAGTGATTGTATCACCATCCTAATTTGTTTGATGTAGACGTAAAAGATCCCCTCTCCCTAACATCCTTTCTGATTGTAATTTTAAGATCTCGAGCTTCGTTAAATAATATCAGTAATTCGTCCTGAGAGATTCCGTAGAGACTTTTATTACGGTATATTCACTTTGACCTTATTGATCAGGAACTTTAATGCTTCCAACGTTGTTTTTTTTTCAAGCCTATTATCACCTTTCCTTCTGTTTCTATAGGTATTCTATACTTTGACAAAGCGTCAATCTCGAATCGTTTGTATGCATATCCCAGCAAATTCAGTCATGTCACCTTCACAGTTCTCATCAAATATATCCTCTCGTTATGGTTTTTCTACTCAATCAAGAATGAGGAGTCCTGCACTCAGTGTTAGTTGTCCAACTCTTACAGATGAAGGTCGATTTGGATCAGTCCAACCTATCTCACCACATCAAACAACCTATACGGTATTATTTAGTCATGGAAACGCAGTTGATATTGGTCAGGTACGTTTATCAAAGAGGAGAATACCAGTAATCTATTTACAAACGAGCTGACTCTGAAACATTAAAAGCCCTAATTATTCTACTCATGATCAGATTTTCCAGAGTAACAGCTTATTGATTTAGGTACTTGATTTCCACTTATTAAAATGATGAGCTACAATCCTGTTCTACTTGTTGAAGTTTGCTGATCAGGTTAAGATAAACATAACTGAAAGCATAATATAATATTTGGATTTTATCACATTTTATGATATATGAAATTCATATTGTATTTCATCCCAACTTTACTTGTTTACACCTTTGTGACAGACAAATATCATTAAGGTGTACTTAACAAAGTGATTAGAACACAAAAAAATGACGTAAAAGATTTTAAAAGTAAGCCGTTCCATCATTAAAAGTTGCACATAACGAGAAAACATGTATCAATGAAGAATAAATGAATCTAAGATGTTTAATGTTCACGAAAGATAAAGAATGAATTGCTTACTGCTGTTGTATAGTGTATTAAGAGTCCCTTGGCAATTAGATAAACAAACCAAGAAACACCACATTCATACCTCAAACTTTCAGTTACTGATCTCTTAAACTAGTATAGTATATGTTTTGATCCATGACAAAGTCAGGCGTCTGAGTAATCCAGCTCAGAGTGTGTTACATGTTTCAGCGGTCTCATTCAATCCTGATTATTAAGTTCATCTATTAATCAAACTTCCTTGGATTTTACTACACACTAAACATCAACATGATATTTGTTTGAATTCACTTCCTGTTTCAATCGATAATAACCCGTTAAAATTGTCCCACCATGTGTGAACAGAAGTGAAAGTGATTATTTCAGTTTAAGTTTATGTATATTTATATACACAATGATTATTTTGACTTTGTAAGTGTTGACATTTTCGTTTAGTTTGAACTTACATAACCTAATAACTTGAAAAATAAACGTTCTCTCTTCAATCCAATTCGTTTTTTTAAATTTTGGTTGTCTTAGTGTTAACTTGTGTGATTTCCTACCTTTGAAGTTCATCATTTGAAATGATAAAGAGATCCATCTTTTTTTCCTTTTTGAAATACAAATTATCCCTCTTTGCACTCAATAAAGTTCACGTTCTTTTTTTTTGCTACTGAGTCACGTGTTAAAGTTATGCAATTTTATACATGTTAATTTTTTTTTCTATCTCGTTCCTAAATATTGCTTCTAGCTTAAGTTGTTTATATATCTTGAAAAAAAATTACTTACTTACTTACGCCTGTTACCCCCAATGGAGCATAGGCCGCCCACCAGTTTTCTCCAACCAACTCGGTCCTGGGCTTCCTTCTCGAGTTCTGTCCAATGTTTGTTCATTCCTCTCATATCTTTCTCTATTTCTTGGTGTAGTGTGTTCTTTGGCCTTCCTCTTTTCCTTTTGCCATGAGGGTTACATGTGAGGGCTTGTCTTGTGACGCAGTTAGGTACTCTTCGTAGTATGTGTCCTCTCCACTTCCACCGCTTCTTCCTGATTTCCTCCTCCACTCGAATCTGGTTTGTTTTCTCCCACAGTACGTTGTTGCTGATCATCTCTGACCAGCGAATCCGAAGTATTTCGCGTAGACAACTGTTAATAAACACTTGTATCTTCTGGACGATGGCTTTCGTAGTTCTCCGAGTTTTTGCTCCATACAGTAGAACTGTCTTGACATTTGTATTGAAAATACTGATTTTGGTTTTGGTTGAAAATTGTATTGAGTTGCAGATATTTTTCAACTGTAGAAATGCAGCCCTTGCTTTGCCGATCCGCGCCCTCACATGTGCATCGGATCCACCTTGATAGTCGATGATGCTGCCAAGATATGTAAAGGTGTTAACGTTCTCCAAGGCATCTCCATCAAGAGTGATTTGGTTGGTGCATGTTGTGTTGCATCGGAGAATTTTGCTTTTTCCTTTATGAATGTTGAGACCTGCTGACGCAGAGGCTGCTGCTACACTGGTCGTCTTCTCTTGCATTTATTGTTGCGTGTGAGATAGAAGAGCCAGGTCATCTGCGAAGTCCAGATCGTCCAGCTGTGTCCTAACTCTCCAGTTGATACCGCGCTTCACTCCAGATGTCGACGTCTTCACGATCCAGTCGATCACCAGGTTGAAAAAAATAGTTAGTAGTAATTTGGTAATGTTATTGTTTTGAAAAGAATTTTATTTGTTTCCGAAGTAAACATTAGGTAGTATAATAAAAACGATGAATCTATTGCTTTCATCGTATCAATAAGCAAATTTTTGACATCTGTAACTGTTATCAATTTGTTGATTAGACTGATTTTTATTTCTATGAATATTATCGAAATATCTAAGAAATAAGTTATAATTCATTGGCCAGTTTTTAGATTAAATTGGTTCAGTTGAAACGGAGCATAAACGTGACGGCTTTTTTCCGTTGTTGATACCTCTGGGATTATACTACTCCCATAATATCTTCGATTAACAGTCCTTTTTGAATACCGTTAATACTTCTACTACCTCTACTGCTATGGGGCTTGAATTGACAATCCGATCTCTATGTGCTAATGTAGAATGGCAATTTAAATTGATGTACGTTCTATATTGTAGCTGACTGACTGAACACAAACGTACTACACAACATTATGGTTGTAGTAAATTAATCAAATACATCAAAAAGGGTTTGAAAAAAAAATGATTGTATCGTTTATACTAGGAAATAGTGAAATTTAAATTTACTCTTGTCACCTGAACGTATCACACACTTTTTTTTCGATAATCAGATTAAAAATTTTGAAACTGTGAATATATAAGAAAGTAGATTTGTTTTTTGAAAAAATGAGCCAGTTGCTCGATATCACGAAAATGGCCACACTGATATCAAGTTAAGTTGACAGTTTACTTATTGGCCAATTGTTTATCACTAAGTTTTGGAACGGAAGGATTGTTAGACCCTCGTATTAGCTAAAATTTTTTTTGTAATCTGATGATGATGTTTGACCACTTTCGTCTTGTTACAGACAGATGAACTTCATCAACATAGAGCCTGACAGATGTGAGTTGAATCAAGTTGTCATATTTAATTGACACGTGATGAAAATAACTAAAGAAATCGGAATTATGTAATCAAACTGATCAAAAGAGGAAATAAGTCTTGCAAATCTCGTTTAAAAAAAAGTATACTGGAATCCAAGACCGAGAAGAAGATAATATGTATGGATCTGCACTATTGTGAATGATTCTGAACCATGTCATTCAACACATTTGACAACTGATTACGCTTGTCATGCTGACCCTAACCAAGTAATTTGTATCTGTTAACATAGCTCCTACCAATAGCCAGTGACTTTAAGTAATAGTGCTACCTTTTTTGGTTTGGCTGCCGCTAGCTTTCTTCCAATATATTTCGGCACTAGTAACCGTCTCACACATGTGCACAGTATTTTGATAAAATATCGGCAATCCTCATATTATTCGAAGGCGATCGCATTTTCACAGGGCTTATCTCTTACCATCTTTATGGAAGAATTGATTAAGAAAGCTATGTTTACAGTTCAGCTCTCAGCAATCCTGTAAATCACTTGAAATTCTTAGATAACATAATTTTTGTAACCGAAAATAGGCGTACAATGCATCATCTTTAAATTCAATTAAAAAATATTTAAATTATAATAGTAAATTCTACCAACCTAACTTACTGATTGATCACTGATTAGCTCTTAGTAATGTTCAAGTCCTATCGATTAAATTTCAGTGTAACCAGTCGTTTGTGACTCGATATCATATGGATTGCGTTCTCGTGCTACATGGTTGAAGATAGTGGGAAAAACTCCACTATTTAGCTGCGGTTTGTAAAATCTACTCACACTCTGATGGTGAACTGGTGCTTCTTTTACGATCCATACCAGCGTCACTTAACTTCACAGACCAAAAAAAGTACAACATATTATCGAGTATCAATCTAACAATAAATCTAAGTTCAAGGTTTCGTATAGACTTTTTTTTTTACCAACTATCCAACACTAAAACGTACTAATAATTATTCGTAGGGAATATATTGTTTTCATTAGATATATAAATGAATATTTCCCAGACTAGCTTGTTACAATCCTTAAAATGAAGTGATGATACTTCAATTGACTGTTGATAAAACCAGACATGTCAAGAATTGCATACATGGTGGTCATTTTTCTCTTATTCACACAATCTGAATAAAAGTTAGTGATATTTATTTAAACAGTAACATTTTCTAGATTGTTGTTGATTACTATATGTGTATCCTGTATACATATATAGAGTTAGTTGGTCATGCAACGATTGTGTGTACTACCACCTATATTTTATGCCAAAACAAACAAAAAATGCATACAACGATATATCTCCCACATCAAAGCAAACTACTTTTATTTAATCATCATTCAAATGAGAAAATGTGTTTAAAAAAAATACAAAAAGAAAAACTATAGAAGTGACCTAACAAATGTTCAATTCCATAACTTTCGATAGACGTATTTCTTTATATATATATTTTTTTATGCCCTATATAATATATTTTGACAGTTGTAAAAATTGAATATAAATTGTGCTTGTTTATGCTTTCACTTTCACTATTTCTTCCCCTTGTCTACTATGCCTTTCTAATCAAGATGGCTGGATTTCTTCAATCTTTGGCATATCGTTTCAGTGTAAATATTTTATGCTATGATTATTCCGGTTATGGTGGTAGTTCTGGTCAACGATTAGAAGAGAATTTATACGCTGATGCTGATGCAGTATTGAATGAATTACGTGAACGATTTAATGTACCACTTGATCGGATTGTATTATACGGACAAAGTATTGGAACTGCTCCTACAGTTGAATTAGCTACTAAGTACAAAGTATGTTTATTTTTGTAATTGAATTGATAATTCGATCTGTGTATGGGCTAATATTGTTGTATGTATGTACATACCAAGTTTTATGTTGTAGCTGACTGACTGACTAACTGAGTAGGAAGGAAATGAAATAGTGAATGATAAAACGTTCAATATCCGAAAGAAATTGAAGAAGATAAGTAGATTTAAGTCACTGTGATTATCTTAAAAACTAATCTAATAACATCTTTGCATAACCAAATAGTTCCGTTAGTTCAAAATTTCTATTGAAGTTTAACTGTTAACATAACTATCAGTCTATGTAACGGTTTACCTACTTGTAATCTGACATTAAAATAAACTTAAATATTGCTAATCTTATAATGGAATACTATATATTGTGGACAGCTAGGATGCAGCTGGACGATCTGGACTTCGCAGATGACCTGACTCTTCTATCTCATACGCAACAACAAATGCAAGAGAAGACGACCAGTGTAGCAGCAGCCTCTGCGTCAGCAGGTCTCAACATTCATAAAGGAAAAAGCAAAATTCTCCGATGCAACACAACATGCACCAATCAAATCACTGTTGATGGAGATGCCTTGGAGAACGTTACCACCTTTACATATCTTGGCAGCATCATCGACGAGAAAGGTGGATCCGATGCAGATATGAGGGCGCGGATCGGCAAAGCAAGAGCTGCATTTCTACAGTTGAAAAATATCTGGAACTCCAAACAACTTTCAACCAAAACCAAAATCAGGATTTTCAATACAAATGTCAAGACAGTTCTACTGTATGGAGCAGAAACTTGGAGAACTACGAAAGGCATCATCCAGAAGATACAAGTGTTGATGAACAGTTGTCTTCGCAAAATACTTCGTATTCGTTGGCCAGACACTATCAGTAACAACTTACTTTGGGAGAGAACAAACCAGATTCCAGTGGAGGAGGAAATCAGGAAGAAGCGTTGGAAGTGGATAGGACACACATTGCGGAAAGCACCTAACTGCGTCACGAGACAAGCCCTCACATGTAACCCTCAAGGCAAAAGGAAAAGAGGAAGGCCAAGGAGCACACTACGCCGAGAAATAGAGAAAGATATGAGAGGAATGAACAAAAGCTGTTAAGAACCAGAAAGAGAAGCCGAGGAGAGAGTTGGTTGGAGACAACTGGTGGGCGGCCCATGCTCCATTGGGGGTTACAGGCGTAAGTAAGTAAGTAAGTAATATATATACCTATATTTCGTCTACACTTACATCTTCCAGATGATGGTTCATTGTTGTTTCTTGATCATTGCATCTAGCTATTAATGACATATTTTCCACTTATGTAAAACTCTTTTCACCACTTGTCTGATAAGATTTATAGTGGAAAATTAGTAACATTGGTTATTGTCTCACTAAGATCGATATGAAAGACAATAATTTGTGCAGTCATTACGTTATTAATAACGATGAAATCTAGTTAATCGATTGTTATCAGTTTAAATTCAAACTCAAATGTGGTTGCATTCATACATAACTTCTTTCTTTGTAAATATCTGTCGTTTTAATCTATAGAAACGCTATCTTATGTTGTGGTATGGCAACTTGAACTAATGTACGTACTTACGAAGTTCTACAGTGTTGCTGACTGACTGACTGCCATTAGAATCGATAAAGTAGGTAGGTACGCATTCAGAGAATTCAAGAAGGCATTGAATACTTCCTCAGATAGATTCTCCGAGTAAATAATGTATTTATTCTAATGAAGAAAATAATCTGCAGTATTCCTTCTTTTCTACGATTAATCGAACAAATTTAACAAATTATTTTCTTAATGTTTTTGGTTTAGACTAGATTTCTAAAATCAACAAGATTAAAATGCTTCCAAATTAAATTGTAACACTCAACAGTAATATATAGTATTGCTAATTTGTATTGCTCTAAAAATCCAGTTCCTGTCTGTTTTCAAACAATCAACAAGTAATCGAAACGTCCTTGAAGTAGTGATAAGTAATTTGCTTTCAATGACCTAAGTTGTTATGGCAGTGTATCCTAACTCGGATCATTTAATTAGGTCATGAGAACATAATAGTACATTATTAATAACTGTGAATTAAAATATATCAGTTTCAATCGAAGGCTGTACTTAATATACTCACGTCTTTCGTTTGTAAAATCGGCAATAATGCTCATACCCTCATAATAAAATTACACATTTTCATATGACATAATAAATGATGTGAGTTTAGATGTACATAAGTTCATAAGTAGAAAGTATAGAGAATTCTTCGCCATTGCATGCCTTAAACATGTGTAGCAAATTTCAATTACAATGATATTAATGTTATTTCAGTAATTTTTTCAATCGTATGAAAAATGCATTTATCTATACGTGAATTCAATGACTATGGAATGTAAAATACGTTGAGCTAAGAACCAAGAAACAAATAATTAGAGAAATCTATCGTACTAATATCAATGTCGAGCCAGTTATATGAGATGTGATGCAAAAGGAGCTAATTAAATTGCGAAATGTATATAATGGAATAACATTTAATTACTTACTGACTTACGCCTGTTATCCTCGACAGAGCATAGGCCGCCAACCAGTATTCTCCAGTCTACTCTGTCCTGGGCTTCCCTTTGCAATTGTGTGTTTCTTGGCCTTCCTCTTTTCCTTTGACCTTGAGGGTTCCAGATGAGAGCTTATCTTATGACGCAGTTTGGTGCTTTCCTCAATGTCTGTTCTATTCACTTCCAGCGCTTCTTCATTTCTCCCTCCGCTGAAATCTGGTTTGTTATCTCCAATAACATTCAATACAGGGATTGGAAGATACATAAAGAATGATTACAATTGTCCAAATACCGTGGATTTTAAACGTCACAATCCATTTGAGTTAACATTCATCATGTGGATCCTAATAAATTAAATTCACACCTATCAACTCGTCAGTTAATAACTTCAGAAGGGATTAGTTTAACGTATACACAATCGGATGTCGACTTAGTGGTCCTGAGGCTAAGTGTTCTCAGGGAGACTGCAGGTCCTGATTTCGATCCTTTGTAGCTATCTGCTGCTTCTCGATTTTGAAATATCTAGTCGGTTCTTAATGTAAATAAAACTTCGAAAATTTTGACTATTTCTTCATTTGATCACTTTTGGATTCCATTTCAACCTACTCCTACCGATTCCAGCACTGTACTTCATGGTATTTTATGGCTAGAGGGTGGGCATGTCTAATGTGTTTTAATCATTTAAGTCGATTTACCATTTCTACTTAGAACAATGTGTCTAATCGTAGAAGCGGAATATTGTTGATTCTGTTTTCTCTCAAACATTTATGAAGGATTCTTACTCATTACTAGATTTTCAATCCTTTGTATATATCTGGTTTTTAAATACTACCATTGTTATTACTATTATTATTATTATTATTATTATTATTATGATTGTTATTCAACTTCCAAAATGTATCTGTTTTGTACTGAACAATCGTAATTTTATTCATTATAAGGCACGAAATTTGTTTTTGAACATTTTCAGTTATTGCTCAGTTGGAAAAAATAATTCAGCTATATATTGACTAAACCCGGTTTTGTTTAGTTTCATTTGTGATAAATTTTCGTTTTTGTCTGTGTGCTTACGTACTTAACCTTTTTTTTTCAAATATTTCAATGTAGTTCATTAAAAACAAAACTCCATATTACAAAAATATTGACATGTTGAATATGTGGGGTGAACTACTACTTTCTGTAGTTTATGTATATATACTACCACCACACTTGTTGAATAAATAATTGGTTTCCGGTTAAATGAATGCCTAATTTTAACAGTCAGTCAGTCAGTTGCAACGTAGAACTTCGTACGTATGTAAATAAGTTCATGTTGCCATACCACATTATTAGCACAGAGACGCAAATGTCAAATCAAATCCCATAGTGATAAAGATAGTAGAAGTATTAATGGTAATGAAGAAGACTAAGGTTCGAAGATATTATTCAAGAAGCATAATTCAGTGAGATAAGGTTAGAAAGACAAAGTTAGAGGTGCTGACGAATCCAGAAGGCTAGAATTTGAGAGAGAACAAAGAGTGGATGCACCTGCGCCATTGCAAACGATTTCGAGCCATATCGTTCAAGGTCTCTAACCACTGGTGACTTTCGTCTCGCGGACCCCGACCGACCCCTACACTTACCAACACGGTTCAGTCCACTTGTCAGTGAATTCATGGATTTGTGCCATGTTTTTGTCTGGCCGCCCCTAGTATTCTTCCAACCTACTCCTACACCATAAAAATAGCATTTCGAGGCAGTCGGTGGTTAGGCATAAGTAATACATGTCCCAACCACCTCAACTGATGAAGTTTCACTACTTCATCTACTGATCTACCATCTTTACCTAGTACTCGTTTCCTAACGACAGCATTGCTTACTCGGTTGTCCCACGATATACGAGCAATGCTTCTTAAACATCTGTGATCGAAAAATAGTAACCTATGAAAGTCCTCTACTCCTAACGGCCATGTTTCGCATCCATATAGGAGAACGGAGCGAAATGCTGCGCAGTACACCCGTCCTTTAAAAGAATTATTTGTTATTTTTCGTTTCATGATTTTTACACAGCTGATATCGAATATACATTTTATGGGAAAACGATGTGCTCATTCGATTCACCAGTCATCATCTAGACAGTGAATTGTTGGTCAGAAAACTCACATTAAATGCCTTCGATATTATCAATATTGTCACAGAATGTGTGAACTGTCGTTGTGAGCTTTCTTAATCTTTGCTTTATTAAACGTTGTTCACCAAACCGTTCAATTCTCTTGAAAAATGCGTTGTTTGAAAAGTCAGCCGTCAACATTGAAGATTTCACTGATAGTTTTTATCTACAAGTTTAGTAATTCGTTCCGGTTATTTTCTGGACAAGCCATATATTACTTATTCTCTTTTTTAGGATTAAGAAATCGCGTGCATCTCTGATATTCTTTCTTTCCACTGTATACTTATAAACGATATTCAAACGATATTCAGTTTATGTTTATCACGAATATGTCCGTACTTTTCACTCTGTATGAGTAGTGTCCCTTCGGAAATTTCATATTGATTTAATTCGGGCCCTTATACAATAGAAGCTTGAGTATCTCTGATTTTAAGTAAAAAAATTCGTACTTTCACTCTCCTTGTTCTAATTAGTTTTCAATTGATTGAATTTGTATTAGTATTACATATACTCAAACAGTATTTGTCTTATTACAGCTAAATACTTCAATAGTCGTCACAAGAGCTTCGTTTACAAAACAAAGTTAATTAAAACAAATTGAACTCGTCAATTTTTAAATCAAATCAAATTCTTTAGGAATTCTGACGTCTATTATTTGCTTTTATGTTCGGATTGTTAGTAACTTGAAGACTCTATTAACCTTGTTATATTATATGCTTGAGTGTAATGCTAGAATTTTTATTGATTTGAAGAAAAAATGTTCATACAGAGTATTCTAATCAGTCCGAACTGTGATTGCATCAATTTTTAAAAAAAAAGTTAATATTACCACTTATCCGAAACAATTTTTCTATTAAATCATCGATCTATCGTTTGTTTCTGTTATAGAAGGTAAAAATACTTATCAGTAGTTATTGCCTAATAATAATCATAATAATTCACATGACTGAGTTATTTACATAAGTCCTGAATTGAATTGATATCAATTGATATACAAAAAGAATGCAATAAGCTAACAAGCTAACAAGTTTTCTTTCTTCCTGGTAGGATTGATTGTAAAATAGTAAACACAGAAATTGGACATGACTTAAACCTTATTTAATACATAAGCAACTGTAGGATCACACTCATTCGTTATTTAAATCAAGATATTGTCAGTCAGTTACAACGTAGAGCTTCGTACATAAACTCAGGTCGCTATACCGCATCAGCACACAGACGCATTTGTCAGTTCAAAACCCATAGTGGTAGAGATAGTAGAAGTATTAGTAGTAATGGAGAAGATTAAGATTTGAAGATATGATTCGAGAAGTATAATTCAGTGAGATAAATTTAGAAACAGAAAGATAGAGATGATGAGGAATTCAGAACGTTAGGACTTGAGAGAATTCAACGATAGGATACACCTGCGCCATCGCAAACGTTTCTGAGCTATTGACTGTTGGATTTCATTTTTACCCACCTTACTGTCATTGTTGGACAACGGCCACTTCACTGGATTGTGTAATATATATATATATATATACCGAGTAAGCAATGCTATAGTTAGGAAACGAGTACTAGGTAGGGATGGCAAATTAATAGATGAAGTATTAAAACATCAGTTGAGGTGGTTAGGGCATGTGTTACGTATGCCTACCCACCAACTGCCTGAACCCGCGATGTTTTGTGGTGTAGCAGCAGGTTGGAAAAAAGCTAACCAAATACATGAAGTCACTGACAAGTGGACTGAGTCATGTTGTTAAGTGTACACTACCCGATTGGAGTCCGCGAGACGATAGTAAACGATGGTTAAAGACCCTGAATAACATGACTCACAATCGTTTGCAATGACGCAGGCGCATCCACTCTTTGTGTTCTCTCAAATTCTAATTTTCTGAATTGGTCATCCCCTCCACCTTTCTCTTCCTAAGCTTATTTCACTGAATTATACTTCTCGAATCATGTCTTCAAACCCTAATCTTCTCCATTACCGCTAATACTTGTACTATCTTTACCACTACAGGACTTGAACAAATAATTGTATCTCTGTGCTAATGTGGTATAGCAACGTGAACTTATGTACGTACGAAGTTCTCCGTTGTAACTGACTGATATATATAACGATGCTACTATCTATTTGTTAGATGGTGAGGCGTTTAGTTATTATTTCCATGAAAACTCTCAATTATCATAGGTCAGTATCTCCTGTGAATTACACCCAAGTCAAAGGTTTAAATACTGGCTCTCTACGAAAACCATCTCCTTTGGTTAAGGCATCCTGGAAGTACCCCAGCTCAATCACACATACGGTACTCGTTGCCTCCTCCTCTATCTCTTCGCAATATTCTTTCCTTGTTTGAATGGCGCCTATTTTTTTTGATGCCTATTGGTATCGAATTTTCTGTTTATTAAATCAACTGCCTCGACGAGCTTTGTTTTATGGTGTAGGAGTAGGTTGGAAGAAAGTTAGGGGCGGCCAGACCAAAACATGGCACAAATCCATGAAGTCACTGACTAGTGGACTGAGTCATGTTGGTAGATGTAGGCTACCTGGTTGGGGTCCGCGAGACGATAGTCACCAATGGTTAGAGACCTTGAACGACATGGCTCAAAATCGTTTGCAATGGCGCAGGTGCATCCACTCTTTGTGTTCTCTCAAATCCTAATCTTCTGGATTCGTCAACACCTCTACCTTTGTCGTTCTAAACTTATCTCACTGAATTATACTTCTTGAATAATATCTTCGAACCCTAGTCTTCTTTATTACCATTAATACCTCTACTATCTTTATCACTATGGGATTTGATTTGACATTTGCGTCTCTGTGCTAATGTGGTACGGCAACATGAAATTATTTACATACGTACAAAGTTCTACGTTGCAACTGACTTATTAAATTAACAAAATTTCTCTTTCGCAAAGTATGCTTGTTATTTCACTGTCGCTTAACTATACTTTAAAAAAAAATGAAGCAAAACGCATTTTATTGTTATAATTTTGTGTATTTTTTCGTTTTTGTAGACGCTTAATTGAGTTACAGAATTAGTAACCAGGTAAATTCCATTGATTTTATGCAATAGATTTTTTTTTGTGAAATAAATTTCTAATGGAATAAATATGTATTTTTACTTTAGGTTGCTGGTGTTGTTCTTCATTCACCATTTATGTCCGGTCTACGTGTTGTCTGTCCTGGTACAACTAGACGCTTCTGTTTTGATCCATTCACAAAGTAGGTAGCACAACTTTTGTTTTTGCAATCGTATCATTCTACTGATGTGTCACTATTTATTCTTTTATTTTCTGTTGAGCTCGTTATTACTTACCGGAATAACATTAGTTTAATGAAATGATCCTGATTGTTTTTTGTGGTGTACTCTTCAGAGAAATACTCATCAAAACATCCTATCGAGTAGTTTTTATTCTCAGTATAAAACTAGGGTATTTTGTACTTGGTTGGGGCATGTAATTTTGGTGCGAAAACTTGGGGCAACGCACATGTTTACCAGGTTTTTACGTTATTTATGACTGACTAATCAACTGACTTGAGATATATTATACTCCTACGATCTAATTACTCACTTTTGCCTGTTGTCCCTCATGGAACACATTGGCCGCCGATCTGTATTCCCCAATCTACTCTGTCCTGGGCTCTCCTTTTCAATTGTCCCCTAATGCTGTTCATTATTTCGACTCCTGCCTCCTATTCTAGGCTTAATATGTTCTTTAGTTTACCATTTTTCTTTTGCTCGTGTATGTTCCAGGTTTTAAAACCTAGAATCTTGAGGATGTATAATAATAATAATAATAATATAGGTTTCTGCATCATATTGTTTAAATTCCAACCCATCCCGACTAAGGTCCACAGTCACTGATTTCGTGAACTAAGGACATATTTCACTTTGAATGCTCATATGTTAATTAGCACTGCAAGCATGTTTGGGATGAGGTTTTCCCCCTCCAAATGCAAAATGTTGCTTCAAGACTGGGTTGCATCGGCACCTGAACTGGAGATAGGGAGTGAAGTAGTCGAGCGTGTAGACCGCTTCATGTATCTGGGTAGTCTCATCAGTGCTGATGGCCTGGTGACTGACGAAATCTCAGCACGGATACAGAAGGCTCGATTGGCTTTTGCCAACCTGCGTCACTTATGGCGTAGGCGAGATATCCGTTTGCTAACCAAAAAGACGAGTGTACTGTGGAGTAGTTCGCTCCGTCCGACTTTATGGATGCGGAACATGGCCGTTAAGAGTAGAGGACATTCGTAGGTTACTAGTCTTCTATCATCGGTATCTCCGAAGCATTGCTCGTGTATCATGGGACAACCGTATAAGCAATACTGTCGTTAGGAAACGAGTACTAGGTAAGGATGGCAGATCAATAGATGAAGTATTGAAACTTCATCAGTTGAGGTGGTTGGGACATGTGTTACGTATGCCTAACCACCGACTGCCGTGACGAGTTATGTTTTGCAGTGTAGGAGTAGGTTGGAAGAAATCTAGGGGCGGCCAAACCAAATCATGGCAGAAATGCATGAAGTCAACTGACAAGTGGACTGAATCATGTTGGTAGATGTAGACTACGTGGTTGGGGTCCGCGAGACGAAAGTCACTGATAGTTAGAGACCTTGAACGACATGGCTCAAAATCGTTTACGATGGCTCAGGTGTATCCACTCTTTGTATTTTCTCTAATTCCAACCTTCTGAATTCCTCATAATCTCTATCTTTCTTCTTCTAAATTAATGTCACTGAATTATACTTCTCTAATCCTATCTTCAAATCCTAATCTTCTGCATTACTGCTAATACTTCTATTATTGCTATCACTCCTGAATTTGAACTGACAATCGCCTCTCTGTGCTGATGTGGTACGGCGACCTGAACTTATGTACTTACGTACGAAGTTCTACGTTGTATCTGTCATTGAGGTAAGCAATCGTTAGGTATGCCCCATATACACGCGTGTTCGTCATTTCAGTCAGTGAAAACTTATAATTCTATCAGCTGATTTACAATATTCACCTAATATTCTTCCTTTATGTTATTATCCTCGTATTCACAATTTTTCTTCCCTTCATACCAATCATAACTAAACTATCTTTCCATTCTGTTTTTTTCTTTCTAAAAAAATCAAATCATATTCACACTGTTTAGTCTATCAAATTATCATTGCTACTGTGAATTATTGCCATTCATTTGCTATCAGTCTTTCTTTTTTTAAGAAAAATTCATCTTATCGTACTAATAAGAATGATGTAGCAACTTCAACCACCCGAACTGTATATACTATACACTAGCCTTCGCATAAAAATTTTGAATGATTGACTTTTGTTGAATTTTGTAAAATGCATAGATAATCATTTTTTAAATCTACATCTATATGTAATCATGAGTTGTGTTGCATAACGCACACGCACACACACACACACTTGTGAAAATGCCCTAGAGATATCATGATTGTTTATTGAATATGATAATTTCTTATCCACTAACACGTTATTGTTTATGTCTTTCTTTTAAATACATTTTGTACTGTGAATGTGAATAACATTGATGTCTGGAATTATTATTATTAATATTATTATCCAATAGACAGTTAATCAGTCAGTTACAACGTAGAACTTCGTACGTACATAGGTTCATGTTGACATACCACATAAGCACAGAGATGCAATTGTCGGTTCAAGTCCCATAGTGGTACGAAGATGTTATTGAAAAAGATGCACCTGTGCCACTGCAAACGATTGTGAGTCATGTCATTCAGTGTCTCTAACCATCGGTTACTATCGTTTCACAGACCCGAACCGGGTAGTCTACACTTCACAACATAACTCAGTCTAGTTGTCAGTGATTATCAGTGGATTTTTGCGAAGTTTTGGTTTAGCCACCCCTAACTTTCTTCCGACCTGCTTCTACACTACATAACATTGTTCGTCAAGGCGGTCGTTGGTTGGGTATTCGTAATACATGCCCTAACCAACTCAACTGATGACGTTTCACTACTTCATCTATTAATTTACCACCCCTACGTAGTACTCGTTATCCAATAGATAGACAATATACAGACTACTTTTCTGTATTCTATTATTGTTTTTTTTTCTATTAAACAAACTAATATAACAATCATTTATATTGGCATATCATAAAATGTCCAAAATTCTGATTATTATTATTGTTGTTCTCTCTAATATTAATTACTTCGTAATTCGATCATATTTAGTTATGACGGTAAACTGTATATGTGTGTGTTTGTGTATGTTGAATGTGTTATAAATAGTTCAGCAGCCATATCTCTATTGTGATACATATGTATTATTCTAAGTGAATTAGTGTGATATAACATCTTGGCATATTTACCAACCGAAACTTAATAATGATAGTCGTAAATATCACCAACAGGAAATTACAAGCGTTTACTAATGCTTTCTCACCTATTGATTAAGTTAATGGCTATCTCAAGTAAATAACTGAACGTTGGGTGGAATACAGGTGTATCCAGCTGACCAGTCCTAAATAGATTGAAACGTGTATCCTAGATTCTGCTGGTAGTCAGCCATCTCAAGATTAAAGACTGAAGTTGATTAGAGCATTTCATGATTTTAGATATTATTCCACTATTAACTATACATCAGATATACTAGAAATTAGAAGTTTAACTAAAAAAAGGAAGAAAACCAATAAAATTTATATGGTATAGAAAAGGCATTGGAATTCATATCTTAATAAAAGATCCAGAAAATAAAATCATGTCATTGGAATCGATTTTATGCTCATATCAACTACAGTTTTTGACAATGAGATAGTGGACAAAACTTATAGCTCAGATGTATGACTATGTCGGTGTTTCTGTATCTGAGCTGGATGTTTATGACAAGCATATGATCAAAAACCAAATCAAAGCGGGATCATAATCAAAGTACGGAGGCAAACAATGACATTTTGAAGGTCAACAGGACAAGTTATAAGTCATTCGTGAAGAAATTCAAATACTTCACTTTTACCTGGAGTGAGTACTGATAATGTTGTCCAAAAGAACCATGAAAGCTCCATAACCAAAACATCTAGCGCAGATAATCAAACCCCACCATGTTTTTGATCATACTATGTATGGTACGACCACTGCACAATTCTTTACCGAAGTTCAGTTTGCAGCTTTTCATCTATCTTAAATGGAATTGATTTCATATCGCAATTTATTTGCAACTAGCATTTATCAGATGTATGTGATAGTAGTTAAATGTGCATAACATTTTGAAAAAAAAAACAATACCGCTATCATAGTTAATGAAAAGTTGATCATCTCATCTATATCTATTCGCACATTATATGAAAAGTAAAACATTAAACGAATTATATTTTTCGAAAAATCATTATTCCTAGTTTTAGATAGAAGAAAAATAATCAATATGTGTAATTTTTCCACTGGTAGATACAATAAATGATTCAATAAATCTTCCATACCTTTGTTTTTTTTATTATTTGTAATCAACTCTTTTCTAATAATGTACATTACATTAAATTTATTCTTAGAAAAATTCATGACAATGGTAACTCGGTAAAAAAAACAAAAACAACTTTCGAACATTTTTCTCTTGTATTGAACGAGTAATGAGCCAGTGAGAGTAGAAGATATTCATAGGTTACTGGTTTTCGATCATAGGTGTCTTCGAAGCATTGCTCGTATATCGTGGGACACCCGAGTGAGCAACGCTGTTATTAGGAATCGGGTGCTAGGTAGGAATCGCAGATCAATAGATGAAGTAGTGACACTTCATTAGTTGAGGTGGTTGGGACATGTGTTACGTATGCCTAACCACCGACTACCTCGTCGAGCTTTGTTTTGTAGTGTAGGAATAGGTTGGAAGAAAGTTAGGGGCGACCAAACCAAAACATGGCAAAAATTCTTGAAGTCATTTACGAGTGGACGTAGCCATGTCGGTAATTGTTGACTACGTGGTTGGGGTCCGCGAGATGATAATACTCGACGGTTAGAGACCTTGAATGACATGGCTCAAAATCGTTCGCAATGGCGCCGGTGCATTTATTCTTTGTGTTCTCTCAAATGCTAATCTTCTGGATTCTTCAACACCTCTAGTTTTGACTTTCTAAATTTATCTCACTGAATCATACTTGAATAATATCTTCTAATTCTTATCTCTCCGATTACTTCTAATACCTTTACTACCTGTTCTACTATTGGATTTGAATTAACAATTACATCGCTGTGCTGAT